CAAAATGCTTCGTTTTTTTGAATATGTTGCTACAACAAAATGCTAAGTTGTGCTCTTGTGGCACTAATTTTTTATTTATGAAAACGGAACTAAAAAATATATTGTTTAGAAAGAAGAAAATTATAGAATTAAGTGTTATTAAAACGTATTTTATTTATTTTGACGATCCCTCAGTAGAAAAGAAATGAACAAGAATATGACAGTTAATGATTCGACTTTTGATTGATTTTTGTAACTGCCAATTGCGTGTTTCTCAACTGTCATAGTGCAATAAACAAGAACTGTTCCGTTTTCGTAAATAAAAAATTAGTGCCACAAGAGCACAACTTAGCATTTTGTTGTAGCAACATATTCAAAAAAACGAAGCATTTTGAAGAAAAACTTTCGCTGACAAAGTTGTTCAGGACAATCCGCTTCATACCCTAAGGTTCATTTTATTGGGAACATTTTGAAATAAATGCACTTTCCGTAAATTTTAAGTAGACTAAATTTAAATCTCAAAACTTTTTATTTGTAATTTTATTTCAGAATTTATATGTTATGCGTCTATGAATAAAGAATGAATTAGAGTAAAAAGAAAAAGAATGGAGGTGCGGGGCATCGATCCCCGTGCCTTGCGCATGCAAAGCGCACGCTCTACCATATGAGCTACACCCCCGATTGAATCCTTCTGAATTTCTCTTAGTAGATCATAACGCACCACATCTCATAAGTACAAGCGCTATCGGACGTTTGTTTAGTAAAAATAAGACAATATCTTTCATGTCGACAAGTCAACAAACAAAAGCAATGCTGGGGGATTATAATACATAGCAGAGGTGTAACATAATGCGGATATCGAATAGGACTGCAGCCTTGTTTTAGTGGAAAAAGTGGAACTATCCTATCCTATGAAAAGCAATTTGATTCATCTATCGAAATTTGTTTACAGAAAAACGGCTCAGTTTTCAATAAATATAAGAAAAACATTCTGTTTTAGATGGAAATATTTTAAGGTTAAGTCCACTTTAACCACTAAATCCGAAGATGCGTAAAAAAATCTCGTATAATACATAGTAGAGGTGTAACATAATGCAGATATCGAATAGGACTGCAGTCTAGCGAATCAGCACAATACACTCGCTGCTCTACTACTCCTAACTAAGTCAGCTTGTTGACTATTATCTGGAAACTCAACTATCATCCCCAAAACAGGTCTGTCTATATTGGTAACTCATTTATAAGCATCATTTCCTATTGTCGGTCTGTTATCGTAAAATAGTTTATCTCAAAGACAGCAGTTTCTTCAAACTTTTGTTATCGAGTAAAATGTTAACACGAGCTATGGGTTAAATTAGCCAGTCACGCGCTATCCGTGAGAGGACGAGTAGGCAGGACCGACCAAGAAAAATAGTGTGTGTTTTGTGATCAACCTCAATTAATGTACCATCGATGGATTGACTCTGAGTTTTTCCAACTAGTCTATGCTTGTCTTGTTGACTCAATTGCCGGTGTGACTCATGTGTCTATTGATCGTCAAATCAACCAAATTGTATACATAAAAAATATTCTTTCATATAACATCACTGTGACAGAACGGAATAACATGATTTTTCTTATGGGTAATTTCATCAAAACAATATGGACTTATCGAAAGCAGTTCTGTTCGATAAAGCCCTGAGACGGATGGATTTGGTGATGAGATGGTTTCTTTCATCTATTAACTACCTCCCTTTCGATAATGGTTAACCCATATGAATCTCAGAATAAGAGTTTGTGTTAAAATTCTGTTAATGTCTTTCTCCAGTTTTAATATAATTCGTGGGAAAAAAAAAGATGACTGCGTGCGAACGGGTGAAGAGTTTCGCAGCATTTCCAAATTTTTATTTTCTCAAATATAGTTGAAAAAGCTATATTTTCGTGTATTATTGTCCTTTGTTCAATGTCAGTTTTCACTGTCTCTTTTATGTTCACATCTTACACTATGTACAGTTTTAAGATGAATTTTTCGTAAGATCAATTACATTGTACCACTCAGCATTATTCATCTTTTAAGGAAAAAAAAATTTGACACATTTAGTGTGCACAGTCGCAATGGAGAGCAAATGTGCATATCAGTTGGATTTCGTTTGACTGATGTTGTGCGACTCTACGAAAAGTGAAGATGAAATGAAGCTTGTTTAAGTGAAAATGAACCTGTTTTTCTCGTGAATGAGCTAAATGAAGCTGACTAGTTCATTAGAAAAGACAATATAATGGAATCGATCTACTGGAGGTATAAATTCTCTTGAAAAATGTATCAAAAACTGGCTATTTGAAAATAGAATCATTGTCGCTTACAGCCATACGACGTTGAATGCACCAGTCTCGTCCGATCACTGAAGTTAAGCAACGTCGGGCTTGGTTAGTACTAGTACGCGTGACCGCCTTGGAATAGCAAGTGTCGTAAGCTTTTTTTTCTGTGTCGCTTTTCCATTGTTCCGTCGACGAGATCAATGTAGTTGTGATTCTCATCAAAAAACTGGGGCAGAAATTTCGCATGATAAAAGGTAGACTTTCAGTGAAATTTGTGAAGATGACGTTTTCCTAGCCCTTTACGTTTCAAACAATCAATTCCATTGAAAGAAGTATCCAAAAAAGAAATTCAAACGGTATTTTGTTCAGTAGGATAATCGCCTTGAAACGAAGTGCTTTGTTATAATAACCAGCAAGAATCACATCAAAAACGATCCACCACCAGAATCGTTTTTCTTCAAACCGCACGATTAGTTTATTGTAGACTAATATGCAGGCAATTTATTGTAGACCATTTTGCAATTTATTGTAGACCTTATCTCTATCGCATTTTTAAAAACTTAATATAACTATACAAACCCTTTTAGTATAACCCTTATTTTCAGTCAAGAGGATAAAAGTGGTGTTATTATCAATAGCTGTAAATAAAATGAACAAGTCGTAGATGTATAATTATTCAGATTCTGTTATAAGGAGAATACAGAATATCAGCAATAAAGTGAACCACCTCGTTGGTTCACGCAGCTTTCAAGTAAAGGTCAAGTCACATTATTCACTTTCTTATTGAAATCACTAGTTGATTTAGCTCATTTTTCACTTCGTCAATTCGACTTTGATATAAGATAATTGATCTATGATTAGATGGTAAAGTTTTTTTAGCAATATCAATTGCTGTTGCTTGATGTTTTAATGCTGTTTTTAAGTTTCCGATATTAGCATATACATATCCTAGATTACTAAGCGTTACAGCTATCGACGGATGATTTGGTGGTAACGATTTTCTTTGAATATTTAATGCCCGCATATGATAATTGATTGATGTTTTATACATTCTAAATTTATTATAAATTGAGCCAATATTATCGTAAATCGTTGCTAATTCTGGATGATTTATCGAAAGTCGTTTTTGCCTGATATTTAACGATTTTTTATAGTACGAAAGAGCTTCTTTCAATTGATTTCGTTTTTCGTATACCATTCCAATATTATTGTATGTTGTTCCTAATGATGGATGATCATGTGGTAATACTGCCAGTTCAATGGTAAGTGTTTTCTGAAAGTTTTCCCACGCTTTGACATAGTCTTCTTTTTCATAGTAGACCATGCCAATGTTATTGTATGTTGAGGCAACATCCGCATGTTCCGTCGACAGCACTTTAAGTAGACATTCTAACGCTTTTTCGTAACTTTTTAATGCTTCGCCATGTTCCCCTTTCCAGCTGTGAGCCACAGCTAAATTATTGTATGTTGTAGCCAATATTGTGTGATCAAGTGAAATACTGGCAAGACTTACTTCGAGCGCTTGCATATGATATTTAATGGCACCATCGTAATCACCGGTTTTCTCACATACAACTCCCAGATTATTGTACGTCGATCTTAGTTGTGGATGATAAATCGGGTAACATTTAGATTCGATCGACAATGCTTTTTGATAGTTCTCTCGTGCCAAACGATAATTTCCATTTTCACTATGAGCTAGTCCCATATTCGAATAGGTTATGCCAAGGTCGGGATCAAAGTCGGCCAAAACTCTCAGTTGAATTTTTAACGCTTTCTCATGATATTTCAATGCTAATTTAAAATCACCTTTATCACAGTGCGCTGTTCCAATATTATTGTAGCCAATAGCTATAGCAGGATCATCAGACTTATAATTGATTAAACGGGTGTTGATCGATGTTTTATAATATTCTAACGCCATATCGTAATTGCCCATCTCACTATGTACCAAACCCATGTGATTGAAAATAAGAAAAAGAGTATCGTCTGTATCGCCACCTTTCACGTGAAGTTCAAGCGCTTTCGTGAATGCAACCAATGCATCTTCATAATCGCCATGGTCATAATGAACTACACCAAGGCTATTATAAACTTTCGCTCTATTCGTATATTCTTCTTCCGTTAGTGTATTGAGTAAAAGATGGTAAAAATTTTTTGCTTTCTGAAATTCGCCCTAAAATATAGAAGAAAACATAAAATCTATCGAGAAACAGCTGTAACATGGAAGCATAAACAGACAGGCAAAACGGTAGCGATCAATTCAGTACTCCGATGTGGTTGAACTTTACTTTCGTTACTTCAACGAAACTTATCTGACAGATTTTTCTATGGGTCGATATCTCTCATTTCAGCAACATTAAACCATAAGAAAAGCTTAGCAACTCTTTATCTATAGTCGAACATGATCATGAAGGAAACGTGAAATACTTACCATTTTTTCAAGAAACTCGCCCAATTTGAGTAGTGTTGGTTTTTCTCCAATTTCAGTTTTTAGCGATTCTGTCAATTCGTCCAAATCTTGATTTTCGTGTTGACTCACACTCAATCCGATATACCAAATAGCATCTGTCAATTGTTCCACAAAATCTATTCGAAATATTGTACCAATGGCAAATAAAATCTCTTGTTCTTGTTTATTATAGCTATAATGTTGAATATCCGCCAATGGTTTTGTTATACTTTCAAGATTGACGTTAATTTCAAATAGAACTGATGCGAAGAACGAACTACTAAAACCAGTTGCATTAAATTGTGCCGCTATTTCACAGTCGGTCGTTGTTGAAAAAAATGTATTGATAGAAAATAAACCACCAATATTTTCTTTAATTTGATTTAATTCATCAGCTGATATTAGCTGAGCACGAAAGACATCGAATGTTTTTGTCATGGTCGAAATTCTGTTTTTTTCTTCATTTTTATAAATGTTTTGCAGTTGATTGTAAAGATCAACAATAAATAAACGATATTTAAATATTTTTTCAATATCTTGAGACCGAAATGCCTTATTAACAAGACGATATAGAAAACAGTCACGTGTATACCACTCAATGGCTTTTGATGAATCATATGTATTATTAAATTCAGCAATTCGTTGTTTTTCCACATCATCATGTTCATACTATTTTAAACATTCTTCAATCATATCTGATCGAGCCGTTGTATCATCTTGCTTCGACATACGAAATAGAATTTCAATTAGCAACTGAAACCACATAAATTTAGCTTCCTGTTTATTGATGTTTTCAAGTGACTTTTCTTTTATACTATTCATACTAAACACACTAACTGGTGTTAATTGGTTAATGAGAAATGTTACATCTCGTGTTAAAGCATCAATCAACAATTGCTTACTGTCGAAGACACCACGTATCTTTTTAAAATTTTTTGCCCAGTCTTGATGTTTAAGCATATTTTCACAATAGACATAAATACACATTATATTTGACTGCTCGTGAACAAGTGGTATCGTTGTTTCACCTAATACGCCTGTAACAACAAATAATACTTTTTGATTCCTATTATTCGACAAATATTCCTTACATTGATCAATATTTGTAAACGTTTTTATATAATTAATTAAGTGTCGAATATCGGCTTTTCGATTTGAGTAATCATCAGTAGTATGTTTTTCAAGCCATATCACAGTAAAATCTTCGTTATTTTTCTCGTCCTCAGAGATGACGGTACATTTATTATTTCGTTTACTTCTCTCACGTGTACGTATTTTAATTGTTGTACTGATGTCTGACCCTGAGCGTTTACTTGTCGTTGTTGGGCTTCGTTTTTGAACACAATTTTTGACGGTAATATTCAATAACTTCTTAGTACTCATGATTCCTAAGTATAGTGAAAAATTTTGTCCATTTTCTAAACATCTGTTGTATAATTCTCAAACACATAATAAAAGTGAAACTGTTTCAAGTGTTTTTCATTAATAACAGGAATGAAAGAAAAGTAAAAGAAATAAACCTTACGCACTATTCGCTTTCTTTCTCTCTAACCAAGAGTATGTGAAGAAAAGAATAATGACATCTTGGAAATTTCCAAGTATGATATGATATGAGACACTATTGTCATAAAACGACCATGGAGATGCTCAGTATACTTCTCGAAAATTCGAAAAACAAAAATAAAATAATGGATTTTATTGAAATCTAAATGTTTTTCGTAATAGTATTACACTCCCTTCTTAAGACAGGATTCGCGAGCCCATCGAGAAAGTGCATAACATGCAAAATTTGACGTACGGTTTTTATTTGATTTTCAGATTCTACAATCAGAACTGAGATTACAAAAAAACATTTTGCCTTTCAGACTTTATTTTGACCGAGTTACAGAGTTTTCAAAATGAGATGCATCTGAAACACTGTCTCATATTTTCGACATAATTCCAGCATTTTTTGTTCGTTCTGGTCGAGCAATGTCTCATGCAAAAGATCATCAAAAACTACACAAAAACGAAAAACTACTAAGGAACCTAAGAAACAGGAGTTCAAGCAAAAATACCGAGATCGGGTTCATCGTAACAAATTATTTTTTTAATAGAAGCGCCATGCAATGCTCTACAAAATCATATCTAAACTCTGATTTCAGAACTTCGATCAAGAAAACTAAGCAAATTGTACGCGAGGCGGAAAAATGAAAACTTTGTAAATTCAGTATTTTTTTCGACTCGAACTTTTTCTTCTCCTATTATTTCTGTAAAAAAGCTTAGCAAAAGTCAGAACCCAGTTTATGTTTGCTACTTTCGAATGCACTCTTTCTCGTGGTCTGTAAAAAATTTCTCTC